GGTGTAGAGAAGTGTTCCTAACCTTTGGGATTTTTAGGTGGGGTGGCCTTCAACCCCCAGAATCCCCCATGCGGGGGGGGGAATTCTGGGAGTTGAAGTCCACCCATCTTAAAGTTCCCAAGGTTGAGAAACACTGCTCTACACCTTCACAACCTGATACTCTCTAAGCATGCTGGGTTAGAGCTCCCATCATCCCCAACCAGCATGGCTATTGGTGAGAATTGTAGTCCAGCTCTTAGGGATGGCACAGCAGTTTTTAATTGGTTTGGGGACAAGGATTGAGCGTTCACCAAGGTGAGTCTCCTGTTGCAGAGTGAACGGAAGTCCAGTCTACAGTTTCAGCCCGTCTAAAGTTTCTGAGAAGACCTGAGCCACCATATCTTTAGGAAGACCATAGATGATGCTCTGAGGAAACTATATAGCTTTCATTGTGATTACAACAATGAAGCTACACAGGGACTCTAATCCTGCAAAGTTACGCAACTGTAGCCCTTAGTTTCATATGGTTCTTTGCTCCATTTTCTTTGCCCTGTTTTTAGGCCTCTGGCAAGAACAGTCTGTTCTCCAGCTTCTCCTGGGTTAGCTAGAAAGAAGAAACCCTGTGTGTACTCATTTAGACCCTACCCATCGCTGATTTGGGCTCTGCCCTCAACTAGTACCTAATTTCCTGATGAATTTCCCCTGACAAAATGTTACCTTAGACAAGCAAAAAAGCTCTTCACCTTCTCTAATGGCCTGGTAGAACATTGCTGAGAAATTGTGTTGCATCATGGTTATTAACCCTGGTTCTGTATATATTTTTCTCCCAGAGGGGCAGCCAAAACTTTACAAAATGGAGGACCAAGACCTGGCAGGACCCACACAACCTGAGAAGAGATTGGAAGAGGTAGGAAGAGGCCATGATGTCACCTGCGTAGAGAGCAGCGTGAAGCTTGTGGCTAAGGCAACTCTACCACTTGTGAAACAGGAGCTAGCAGAAAGGCTCCAACAGGGCTGGGAAGGCCAGAGGTCAGATTTCTTGAGTGCCCCGCCATCTCCCCATCCAAGATGGAAGAATCAAATATCCAAGTCAGGGCCTAGCAGTCAAGAAGGAGTGGCTGAGGGTTACCAGTGGCCTAGAAAAGAATATGCGACTCAAACTGGGGCAGGCTTCTGTGACAAAGCCCACAAGGCCTATGCAAGCCTGAACTTTCCTGTGAAAGTGAAGGAGGAGATTCTGGAGGAGGACAGCCTTGATTCGGAGAGGCAGCGCCAGCGGTTCAGACGGTTCTGCTACCACCAGGCTGAGGGCCCTCGAGAGGCCGCCAGCCAACTCTGGGAGCTCTGCCACCAGTGGCTGCAGCCGGAGCGACACACCAAGGAGCAGATCCTGGAGCTGCTGATTCTGGAGCAGTTCTTGAACATCCTGCCCCTGGAGATCCAGAGTTGGGTCTGGGAAAGCAGTCCCGAGACCTGTTCTGAGGCAGTGGCCCTGGCTGAGGACTTCTTAGCAAGACAACCAGAGGGACACCCGCCGAGCTCGCCAGAGAGAGACCAAGGACGTGAAAACTGCCGGTCTCCTTGGAATGTTTGTGTGGGAACTGGATCGTGCTCTCCAATATGATTTGTAGGGTGGGAAGAGAATGGGGAGATGATGCATCAAATCTTGGGTTCAGATTCTGGCTTCTCTAATGTCAAGACACCAAGGATTGGGAAAGACTTTTGGAGACCTGTTGCCAAGGCAGCAAGCCTTGGACCATTGGGTTGACATAATATAAAGCAAGAATTTAGAATAGCTTTATCCTACCCTGGATCCTTGTAGGATGCTCCCCCGTAGTGTTACCAGTTGTAACGTTTGATGCAACAGAAGAGAAAACCTGTTACACCCATGGGGAATACCCATAGTTGTTGTGTTTTAATTTGAAGTAATTGTGAATAAATCAACCACATGTAGGTTTTGTCCTGTTCCCACCCGTTTTCTGTGGTGCAGCCCTTGTGCAGTCCTGAAAATGGGTCTTTGTCCCAAAGAATGTTGCATGCTGCTTTGGTCTAGATCAATGTTTCTCAACCTTAAGAACTTTGAGACGTTTGGGTGGCT